TTGGAACGTGGGGAATCCAGTATTCGATCCTTCGTTGTATGATAGTCTATCGAACACATCATTATTTTGAAATCTACTTCCTCCCCGAGAGAATATGTCTCCTTCTTGACCCATCGCATCTGATTTCTACCAGAACAAGAACCAACAGATTGTTGATTTTCTCTCACTGTCATCTGGACTATTTGTTTTCCTTTAACATTGCAACTCTTCTGCTGTGTCTCCACTTTTTTTATTTGCTCTTCCCTGAAGGCTTTAACAGCCGATCTGTTAAACATCGCGTTGCATCGTAGACATAATGTCACGTCTTCATCCTTCTCTTTCTTTCTGGTTAAAAATTTGACGAGCGAATCCTCTGTTTGAGGATAAATTTCTCTCTCGAATTCTTTCTCAAACTCATTTAAATCGAACTCTATGTCTTCCTCTGACATGTCTATTTTGACATGTTTAGGATCAATGTCTTCAGTAACATCGACCATACCTATGAAGGCTGAATTTACCAATCTAGCATCTTCAGTAATGCCTGACTGAGACTCAACATACCCCACCTGCACTTCAAATGGATTAGTATCCACTTTCATCGACATCTCCTCAAACTTTAACCTTCCTTGGTCGATTGCATCTTGAATCATGTTCTTGAAATGTATACAATTATTAGTCTAGTGCCCATAAATATTATAAAATTTGCAATATTTTTGACCATTTCTTTGATCTAAAGAAGGCCATTTATGATCATCACTCAATTTAATTTGTTTATCTTTCAATAAAATATCGAAGATTTTATCTGCTTTTGTTACATCGAAAGTATATGTTCGATTCGCCATTTTGTCTTTTACCTCGTTTTTCTGCAGCAGTTTACAAATATATGGAGCTCCTACTTTGAGCTCTGCTATGTTTACTTTCTCATCGATATATTCTTCATTTTCTACTTCTGTCTTGGGATTTTCTTCGTATATGTCATTTATGTACGCTACCCTATCTTTCTTCATAGGTTTCTCAAATTTCTTGTATCTTTCCTTCTCATACTCGATTTGTTCCACTCTTCTTACTTTATCGCCTAATTGAGTCATGTCATTCAATGGTAAATTAACCAACTTCTTCCTAATCGAGAATTCTAAACCAGCAGAGGCCATTCTGACTAATTCAAATTTGGGAATCTAAGTAAAACATCTCGATTTCATTTGTCTAAATCTATTCAAATAATCATCTATACTTTCATGATTATATTTTTTATATTCATTAAGTCGATAAGACTTACTTGAGTCTCTCCCCTAAAAAATTGCTCATGAAAATTTTTTTCCAACTGTAGCCAATTATATATCGAGTTAGGTGGCAAAGTGGTAAACCAAGTGAATGCATTCTTTGTTAATGAACTAGGGAAATATTTCATTTTTAATTCCTCATTCATAGCTATATCTCCACATTCGATTTGATATCGTGCCACATACTTGATAGTGGATTCACCGATTTCTCCGGCAAATTTGGTGAACTTGGGTACTTTATATCCTCGAGGTAATTCTGTCTCGAGAATCGTATTTAGAAAAGGAGAAACAAAGTATGTTTGGTCAAGTGGTCTTAATTCCACTCCTTGGGGATTCATCCTTTGTCCCAACACATGATTGTACTCCATGTTATTCTAATTATACACCCCATTTAAATTTTCGTGAGTATCATTCCTCACATGCTGATATTGGTCAATATTTCGATTTCTCCTTAATAAATAAGGGGGATTAATATTGATGTTTTGGTTATTATCCTGATTGACATTATTTTCGACCCTCGTTTGTCGAGGTATTGCCAATGCATCCCCGATACGTGTCATTTGATATGCTAATATCTCAAAACTATTAGTAGTGTTTTGAATTAATGAGTTTAATACTGAGGTCAACTGTTGTGACAACACATTAACCATCTCGAAATTATTTTCATCCATTTGTTGTCGAAACACTCCTAATGAATTACTGGAAATTCCAGTACTAGCATTTTCGATAGCATCGAAATTAGATCGATGATAATCTCTATCGAATGCATATCTCCTGTGATCCAAATTTGCTCTGTTATCTAGGTTTGGGATTGGAGACATCTGTTGTGTTCCTAAACTTTGCACATTTCCTGGATTCTGAGGTATTGCTAATTTTGGGATACACCTAAATTCGGGGATACTCCAAAATTTTGGGGCATTCCTAAGGTTTGAAATGTTCCTAAGTTTTGGGGCATTCCTAAGTTAAGTCTCGTACTTCGTTGTACTGAAGTATCAACCCCATTCATATTATTAAACGTAAATCCAAACGACCTTACACTCATATATGGACCTGCACATGTTGTTACGGGGTTTCCCGTAGTTTGCATATTATTTGACATTATAGTACCAGACCCTATTAACTGAGTATTTGCTAATGCCCCTGGGCTTTGTTTAGTATTCACTAGAATCGACGCACTCACATTTGTCGATGTTACAGGCATAGTTCGATTGTGAACTTACCCCCCAGTGTTTGGTGGATTCAGACTATTAGGAATCTCACTGTTACTCTGACTATTTGATGGATTTTGACTCATTTTTATTAATCGTTCACTCCTTAATCTCATACACTTTTTGAACTAGCCAAATTTTGTGTGTTTAACACCCCCTACCTGGCGCGCCAATTTGTTTCTGGCGAAAATTTGGTTTGTTTCGATTTCCTAAAGACTTAGGTTCTAACCAAATTTTAACCACGTAAATTGTTTTTATTTAGGCTAGCAAACAGTTTTTCAATCAAAAAATGTATGTAAATCGAGAATATAAAAATATTGAGCAAAATAAATGAAACCAAGCGCATATATTGGAAACACGGAAAGCGTGATAAAGCATACATATTGAAATCGAAAGTTCTCTTTTTGTATTTTTATTTATTTAAAAGACTCGAAAATATGAAATTTAACAAAAGTAAAGAAAGCAGTAAAAGAACATCGAGGCAACAAAGTAATACATAAAATTAAATTGCACTAAGAGTAAATGACATAAATTAAAGTGCGCATAAAAGTAATCAACATCACTGGAAAGTAAATTAAACGTGCAAGTAGATAAATTACTGAGAAAGTAAAGAAAACATTAAAAACTATCGAGACAAAGATGTAATGCAGAATTTTAAGATTACATAAGTGTAAAGGGCAATGAAATTGAAATAACATGAAAATAAAGACACATAAAATTAGATTGCATTAAAGCTAAAGTACCAGGGAAAGTAAAGAAAGCGGTAACAACAGTCAATGAAAATGAAAATCCAGATTGTCAGAAACTTCATGATTCGTCATTCTTCGGTAGACTCGTTCACTTGTGTTTTTGTTCTCTCTGCCAATTTCCCCTTCTGTCTTCATGTTTCGCTCTATTTATAGGTGTTCTTTAAGATAACCTCCTACGAGTGGTTAAAAAATCGCTACCACGTTTCATGTGCACATTAACTGTCCCTCGATTTCCACCTTAGCCACGGTTTAGAAAACCATGTTCCATGTGCACGTTAACCGTTCATCGATTTCCAACTTAGCCACGATTTAGAAAACTGCTTCCCATGTTCCATATACACTTTAACCATTCCCTTGATCTCGACCTCAACCATTGAGTATTTTAAACTGCTTCTGACTTCCCACTTAGTCTCACACTCAATACCTCTAATCGATTTTTTACCTCCTCAATCATGTTCATCGAATTTTCTCTATTTTTCTTTTGATTTAGATTTTAGATTTTTTTCAGCAATAATCATCGAATTTCTTCTTTTGATTTTCGATTTTCCTCAACAATAATCATCAAATTCCTTCTTTCGATTCAGATTCTCGATTTTTTCCCCCACCAACAAAAGGAATTTAAATCAAATTTCGTTTATGTAATTTTTTTTAAATCTCTAGAAAAAAAAGTGGTGGAGGGGGGGGGAATAATTGAGTTAAAGCAGAGTTACTTTTTTTCTCGTGGGTAGTGATTGGTGCTTGTTTTCTTAGGGTTGAAAATTCAACCCACTTTCACTCTGAAAGAAAATTTAGAAGTCAGTTTCGGGGCATCTTTGTTAAAATAAAATGGGATAATTTTCAACAAAACGGTGTCAGTGAGGATTTCCATGAAAAAAAAACGGTGACAATATAAAAGATTAAGGAATAAATTACTATCATTTCACATACGTTTTATTTGTTGAATTAATCACTCTTAGAAAATGATGTTATGCTATAAATCATTATAAAAATTCCTCCAAAATTAATCTTCACTTTAATTTATTTATTTTTTATGTGTGCATAGTTTGAGAGTTAGTAAAATATCTTAAATCAAGTTGTAAAAAATTATAAGTTGTGTAAACACAATATATCTAAGTTGAATTTTAATTAATTAACCATTTTTAAAAATTAAGCTATATTTTATTTATCATGTAATATATATATATATATATATATATATATATATATATATATATATATATATATATATATATATATATCAATTTTGTGTCCATTTCTCTTGTTTCTTCATCCCAATAGTGAATGGGCTAGAAAGACCGTGATGTGTAATTGACCATTTCCATCCAATAAAAGAGGCTAAAAAGTTCGTACAAAAGATTGAAAAACGTACAATGGACTCTTCATGCTGTTTGAATGAGCAGTTGAAGCGGAAAAATTCATAAAGTGAAAATAACGTAACATTATTGGACTAGGAAAATAGATTTTTTTATAAGTGGGGTTGTGTGTTTCTTCTTATCTTCGACTACCAAATAAATTTGTACTATCCATGACTTTTGTAAGAGACTAATTCATTACAATAATAAATTTAAAATATAAAGACAATGTCCCAAGAAGACTTTTTTCTATGTATTCTACGGTAATTATCATAAACCTTTCATATTAGACGAACTCTATCCACCCTTTCATATTAAGACAAAAATACCACAAATTTCTGTGAAACACATGGTTGTACATGAAAAGAAAGAAATACAAAGCCTCTTCTCATCTAGGAAATAATGAAAAAAGGATGAACATGGTAACACTCTTCATATGAGACATCTAAGTCTTGCAAATGTGAGATAGCCCGTGTGACCTCTAGCTTCAATGCATGGTCTAGCCATAACAGATGAAATAGGACTACTCATCACATTGCCACCATCTGAACACTGTCTCCTCTTGCAAGGAAGTGAACCATTAGAGCCATCACCATTCCCCTCTATGCTTTCCAGTTTATCTTCTCGAACTTCATACGCGCGGAGAAGTACCTCAAAAGTCCTTATATCTTTTACATATGACAACCATTTATAGAGGAATACTGTCAGTGCTTCTATGAATAAACATTAGTTCCATAGATTATGAGAGCAAGCAAAATAGTGGTTCAGTAGCTCAAGTCCAAGATGGTATTTTGACCTAGTCTTTTTTGTGAGCTTCTCTTCTCAAAATTAAAAGCTACCAAAAAGATTCTAATTTCATTTTTAAGAGATTTTATCTTTTTAAAAATTGTGGTTGGCCAAACTAGTTTTCAGGAGAAACATGCCCAAAAATTGTTGGGGCAAATCTACCCAAAAACGAAATATATAGATAATGATAGAAAGAAGAAAACTAGACAGTACCAGTGAAGCTGGTTCGAAGCACTTCACATGAACGTTGAACTTGTTCAATGCATGGGGAGAATGAACACAATGTGCCATCTTCTTTCAACATTTTTGCAGCTGAAGGAACAGCTAGCCAAGGCTGAGGTAGATCCAAAAATACCGCATCAGCCAAGCCAGTGAACTCATCAGGAAATCCCTCGCCCTGAATATCCCTGACTCTCACAGTGACTAAGTTGCTTAGACCAGTCCTCTCAAAATCATCCCTGAAAAGAAAGGGAAAAAAATATAACAAGAATGATTATATATTTCTTTGTAAATCAAACAACAGTATGCAATATGTCTTGATACAGCCATCTTAAGAGCATTCTCACACACATACAGATAAACACAAAGATAACTTATTTATTATAAGATTTCTATATAAGGCTTTATCAAGTCCTATCAAAAAATGAGTACTAGAAAATAAGCTTGAACTGAAATATCATCATTAAAAAAAAAAAAAAGTACCTGTTCGTCAAAATATGGCTTAAAATTTCATCAATACAACAACAAAATACAGTCTACAGCTATGAAATATAAGGCACTGATGAAAGTTAAAGACACATGTGTCAAATGTCAGATACTAACAGAGAGATACAATATTTGAAGTGGCAATCTCAATAGACTTTCTTCCTTGTTACCTAGCTGATCCAGCCCTTTGCTCATGGAAATCAAATGTATAGACATGTCCGGTAGGAGCCACTGCCCTTGCCAGTGAAGTAGTTAATGATCCACTTCCAGTTCCAGATTCAAGAACCAAGCAACCAGGAACAATCTCCAAGTACATGACAACAAAGCTAATATCAGCAATATATAGAATCTGAGTCCTGTGGCTTAAAACAAGCGTCCACAATTCTGGTGTAGGATACAACAAGTACACATAACCACCCTTGTTGCTGAAAACTTTGGACCCAAATGGCTTTCCAAGCCAGTCTGAATGCTTAAAAATACCAAATCGGTTCTGCAGGACTGTCCCCTCAGACACCGTTACAGCCTTCATGTTGTCATGCCTTTCATAAACAATAACCAAATCACCATTATTGATGGACCGATTAAACGAATTTTTTTTCGCAGGATCACTGGCCAGCATCTTATTAGTCTTGAAATATATCAGTCCACTCAAAAGGAACAAGTACCTGCTACCTATATATACAGAGAAGAAAATTATACATGAGAAGAATGTTGTGGGATAAAACTGAAAAACTACATAAACTTCTAAATTTACTTGGACATATTTTGTCTTCAATATTCAGTTGTCAAGCATACAATGCTGACATTAATCCCCAGGAACACTAAAAATAAAACCAATGAAAATAAAAAATAAAAAAGAGTATTGACAACATACTCTTAATTATTATTAGTAGTAGTAGTATTACACTCAAGCACAGATACAAGATTGGTATATACACTTTTTCCCAGGAACAACAAAACTAGATGGCAACATTACTAGGAAGCTCTTCTCAATCCCAATACTTGTTATTGTATATACATTTTCAGACAATATCAATATGAATGGTAAAGCATACAAAATAAAAGAATGAAACCCCGCACAAACTCGCAAACTCCGACACGTTATTCCTGTAAAAATTTAAGTAAGCACCCGAAATTCCATCAGAAATTTTGAGCGTAAAATAAAGGGAAGAAGCACAAAAGAATAAAACCCAAAAAAGATAACGAATTCGAAACTGTTTCAGCGTAAATGGCACAACCGCAATATGCAACGAAGAATTAAAAAAAAAAAAAAAAAAGGCAAACCCAAAACAGCACGTAGTAGAGTGAGAGAACTGTCCTACACTTTCTTCTCCTTCAAATTAGGGAAGTGGGTGTGATGGCTTCGAGACCAGACTCTGAAAGCTGAAACCTTGATTCAACAACAACAGAAGGAGAGAACTTGGAATATATACAAACTATGAATTTTACGCTCTCATTATATAAAAAGTCCTATTATTTATTATTATTATTATTATTAAGTTTTGTTAATTTTTTTTTATTCAAATATAATTTTAAGAATTAATTTGACTGAAAATTCAAGATTGTTTCACGAATTCAATTACTAAATTGTTCATTTATGTTGAAAAGCTATAACTTAAAATTATATTACAGTTAGGTCCATTTACTCGCTAAAAAAATTGTTAAATGTATATAAGATTAATTAAATCAATGTAACTTAATTATGGAGAAATCAACACCTTTCTTAATATATCTATATCTATATCTATCTATCTATCTATCTATATATATATATATATATATATATATATATATATATATATATATATATATATATATAAATATATATATATATATATATATATTAATTAGAGTTTCGTTAAGATTTAATTGACTTATTCATTTTTAGAAAATTATATTTTGTTTTAGTTTTTTTTTCCATATTTTTTGTATATAATCATTTTTATTTTAAATTTAACGTTCATTTTATCGTAGTAACATAACGATGACATCGTGACATACCATTACATTGAATTTTTATTACATAACCCGGCAAAATTGTGGGGTAAGTAGAAATTTCATTTCATTTATGTTAGGCTAAATCAAAGATGGATAATGGGCTAGTTCATCAACCCCTTTAATTAAATTTGTATTCACTTATTTGAAATAATTATAATTTATAATATAATTTTGTTAAATTAATAATATAGTTTATATTTTATTGTTATTATTGATTAATTAAAAAAAATATTTTGACTTTCATATATTTAATTTATTTTATTTTTATTAAATAATTCGATAAATTATTATATTAATAAAAATAAGTGGTTTAATTTATAGTAGTCAAAATATCATCCCTCTTTATGCTTCTCAGGCGGTGTTGTTGTGTGTCACACACACCACACTTGCACCAACCTTTATTTATCAGTCCATTCCATAAATTGGGCTTTTCCACTGTCGAAGATTAACCCAGCCCAATTATCAAGTGTATTTTGAAACATTTAGGGGTATTATTTCCTTGCATCATCTTTTTTTTTTTTTCTTTTACCACGTATTCATGATAATATTATCTAGTTTTTGAAAATTTTATTTTAAATCTTTTTTTGAAAAATTGATTTCAAAATGGTAAATTTCTGGAAAGATCAATCTAAAAATTTGTTGAAAATTTCATTCTAAAAAATTTCTAAAAGAGTTGATCGGTAATATATATAAAGTATAGATTCTAAGAGAGTTGATTGGTAATATACATAAAGTCGTTCATGAATTTGTAGTTTTTTCCTTTTTATTTCGTGAATGATGATGGTGCTCCCTATGCCACTGAAGAAAGAAGAAAGGAGGTGTAAGATGATGGAGATACTTGTAAAAGTTTTAAATATACAAAATATTTTTATCATTTCATAGAAGTATAGAAAAAAAATGAAGATTAAAAAAAATTGTATCAACATTTAGTATCACCATTCTTTTAATTATCATTTATATGTGTTGAAATATCATGTTAATTTGGTTGGCACAACTAAATGTATCTTGTGTTTGTAATCAAGTGATAAAATTTAAATTATAATATTCGACAAATTTAAGTTGTTATTAGATTTAACATACTCTTACAACAAGATCTTGACAAAGTTTAGTTAGATTCATATTTTTCGTCAAACACTTGTTAAATTAAGAAATAAAACAATTAAATATTTTCCAATAATTAAGTGAATGTTTAGCTTAAAAAAATAATAATAAAATAAAAGTACATTACTTTCGTCAAAGTTATTATGATATTTAGATAATTATTCGTATATCTGAAAATATAATATTTAAATTTAAAAAATTTATTCAAGTATATTAACACATGATAATTTATCATTTATGTGGGTAATACGGTTAACTTAATATATATATATATATATATATATATATATATATATATATATATATATATATAGTGGCAAATCTTTTTTGGAGTTGAGAAGGTCGTAACTCTCTTAAAGTTTTGTAACTCTTATGTAATTTATGATTTTGGCTTCCCCAAACTTAATGAATATTTAATATATTTACTTGTATATTTACAATTTTATCATCTCAGTCCCTTCTCAGTTTTGTAATTCTCATATAATTTATGATTTTGTTTTCCTCTAATTTAATGATCATTTAATATATTTAAGTATATATCTATAATTTTATTCTTTTACCATTTTATCTTTTTTTTTCTTTTATATTTATTTATTATTTATTAATAATATATTATTTGACCCAAGATCATTGGTCAAGATCCGTGACTGTATATATATATATATATATATATATATATATATATATATATATATATATATATATATATATATATATATATATATATATATATATATATATATATATATATATATGAGAAATATTTTGTGGGAAGGTTAGGAAGAGGGACCAGTTTAGGAGCAGTGTTGGTCCTCTAAGTCGGCATATGGTGAATTATTGGGGTGACATGATGGTGGCAAAGAGCAGTTAAGAGGGGGCAGAGGCAAAGGAGTAGATATTGTCTGTGATACGTGTGGGCTCATTTGAATCAGGTCAGCCCATTGGTCCCATGAGGTGTAGTTATGGTGGGCCATTAATTGTTGCTGCAAAATCTCTTTGATTTTATGTTTCTGTTTCCTTTTACTACTGAAAATGTATTTAATAATTAAAATAAAAATAACACAAATAAATAATTGGTAATTGATAATTTAGTATAAAGTAATTATCTTATATTACACGATCTTATCAAATGTGAAAAAAGAATGGTCAAAGATTATGAACTTCAATGAAGAAGGATTAATAAGTGTACTTAGTTAGAGTCATATTCAAAACAAGCATCTTTTTCTAGTTATAAAATTATTTGAACTCGGTATCAGCCATCAAATGCTGTAAAATCGTGAAATGTTCTCACTGTCTCTTTAAAAGAAATGTAAATAAAGCCAATACAGCATTCAATATTATTAGCTACACTACGTTTTGTTGCCACGGAATACATAAAGGCAATTTAATATTAGAAGTGATTATGAATAAAAAATTATTTTATTGTAAATAGAGTGTGAAAATATATTATTATAATTATCCACCTAAAAGAAACATGATATCTAAATTAAATTAGGTTATTAAATAGATTTAGGGTAGACTGGTTTGTATAATTTTAAATCGGTTCATTTATAAAATAAATATATTTTTTAAAATAAAAGTAATATTATTTAATGTATAAAATATTGAAAATTAATTTATTTAGATATTTACTTATTCTATAAGTGAGTATAAGGTAAGTTTTTAATATTAATTTTTCTGATAATTATAAATTATTAGTTTAGATTATTATATTATTAAAAAATAATATAACAATAAAAAAATGTATTTAATTTTTATTTAAAATAAATTGAATATTTTTTTATAATTTATATATTAATTTATTATATACAAAATAAATATTAAATTTATTAATATAATTTAAATTGTTGAAGTTTAATTTTTATTTTTTTGATTTTTTTTTCTATTAGTTACACCAGGGAGAGACTAAGAAAATTATGACTCATCATAAACATAAATTAAGCTAAATTATAATTATTTTACCTAGTAAGGTCAAATTATATTGAGTCGTTTTGAAGATTTTATATATAATTATAATAGAATTTATTTATAGAAATGTTTAAATAATTTGAAGTAATTTTTTAATAAAAATAATTTTATATTGTAGGATAAATTGTTTAAAATAAATTGTTAGTTATTTTCTTAAACAATTTTCAAATATAAATAAAAACAAAAAATAAGAAAAATAAAATATGATGGTTAATACTTTTTTTTTAATTCTTTAAAATATTTCTATCATAATAAAATTATTTATGAATTATTTAAATGTAATATCAAATATTAAATCTGTATTTTATATTCTTCCATGTGAGAAACAAGTGTTATTCTTAAAGAGATTCTAAACAACTTTTACCCAGTTTTAAATAATAATAAAGTAGATATTGTTATTAAGTTTTTAGGAGATTCACCACTATACGAATCGCGTCTCTATCTCTTTCTCACTATATAAAAAACTTTCAGTCTACGAAACTGTTCTTGGGTTGTTGGCATATGGCAGTGTGTTTGTTTTTCTCGTTTCCTTCATTGCCAACTTTCTGCATC